ACCTGCACAGCCAGAGCCAGCCCAGCTCGCAGTACCGCATCAAGGAGTACCCGCTGTACGTGGAGGGCGGCGCCACGCCGGTGGTGGTGCGCAGCCTGGAGAGCGACCAGGAGGGCCACTACAGCGTCAAGGCGCAGTTCAAGACGTCCAACTCGTACACGGCGGGCGGCCTCTTCAGGGAGAGCTGGCGCGGCGGCGACGAGGGCGACGCGGGCCGCCTGACGCCGTCGCGCTCGCAGATCCTGCGGACTCCGTCGCTGGGCCGCGAGGGCGCCCCCGACAAGGGCGCGGGCCGCGCCGCCGTCTCGGACGAGCTGCGCCAGTGGTACCAGCGCTCCACGGCCTCGCACAAGGAGCACAGCCGCCTGTCGCACACCAGCTCCACCTCCTCGGACAGCGGCTCCCAGTACAGCACCTCCTCCCAGAGCACCTTCGTGGCGCACAGCAGGGTCACCAGGATGCCCCAGATGTGCAAGGCCACGTCAGGTGAGGGGGGCACGGGGGGGGGGGGCGGCGCGTTTCCAGGGCCTCCGGCCTTTCTGAGGTTAATTCTAGAAACCTGGCTGTCAGAGGGTGAGACTGGGGGCCTTCCGGTCCTCTCCTTCACGCCCTCCCGTTCCAGCCCAGGCTTTGCCCGTGACAGAGATCGCAAAGCCAGTGGGGTAGCACCTCCGACCTTCCCCAGCGCGCGGGCCAGGACGTGCCCCCCACTTCAGCATCCTAGGTAGGGACGCAGACATTCTCTCCCGCCACTTGTAAGGACAGACATCAGAGAAGCTCCGTGCACACGTGACTCAGGGTTTGTTCCAGTCTAAAGTGCACCTTTCCCCTGGTGAAGAGACCCTAGTAAGTTACAGACCCGAGTGACCCCTTCCAGAGGGACGCTTATTGCAACCATGGCCTTGGGTCCTGGAGCCCTGGGGGACTTGGCCACTCCTCCTGGTGACTGACTGGTGGTGGGGGGAGGGGGAGCTGCTCTTGCGGCCCCCTCTCAGGGGTGTTAGGAGGTGACCATAAGAATTTTTATAAAAAGCTTTCAATACCACAGTACTGCATCTCAAAGCTTTCGTAACCTACTTAAGAGCTCCCTCTTCTTCTTGTACTAAGAGCACGGAGCGGTGCCAGAATGTAAAAAAGCAAAGGCTACTTTCCCTTCCCGGTTCCTCTGTGGGGAAGAGCAGCGGTGACAGCCACCCCCAGTGCTCAGCAGTGACCCGCAGGGCTCTCAGCAGGCACAGAGGGGGGCCGTGCGCCCGAGGTCCTGCTCAGACTGACCCTAGGGAAAGAAAGGGGAGGAAGGTGAGACATCATAAAATGATTTTTAAAAATAGAAGAATAGAATGAGAGTGATCACACAGAAGGGACTCCAAGTCAGGACCTGACTTGTGATGGGAAAGAGTGAAGTAAAGGTAAGGACCAGAGGGAAGGACGGACAGAAAATGGGGTTCACCTTTGGGAAGGGGAGGGGGATTCTTGGGCCTTCCAGTGAATCGGACAACGAGGAGGCTCCAGGCCTCAGGGCTCCCGCCTTCTGTCCCCTGTGTCCCCAAATGACATATTCCAGAGAGGAGAACACAAGTGATTCAGGCAGTCACGAAAGAAACCATGGACTCTGAAGGTCCTAGAGCCTTCTCCATGTTCCTCCTCTATCTATACAATAAGCCCCGTGACACTTGGCCGGGACTTCCCAGGAGGATTTCGAGAAAGAACGAATGAATGCACTGCTCGCATCACTGAAAGCCCCTGAGCCTCTCTCACTGTTGGCAGCGGCGGCAATGGTCTCCTGGGAACATGACTGTTTCCCTTCTATCAAAACTGTAGCACTTGCCTAGTGATTAGGCAACTCCTTGGGGACATATTTTAGATGAGAAATTCTAAGCAGCTGTTTCTGAAGTTTACTAGTGAAAAAGATACTTTGGAGAAAACAGAATCGGCCAAAAGTCGGGGTGAGGAGGTGGGGATGTCCCCCACCGTGACCCTGCCCCGGGCTCCCCTCCGGCATCTCTGGAGAGAAGCTCCTTCATGGGTCTTACCCCTCCACCGACCCCTGTCCCCTCTCCACAGCTGCCTTACCTCAAAGCCAGAGAAGCTCAACACCGTCGAGTGAAATTGGAGCGACGCCCCCAAGCAGTCCCCACCACATCCTAACCTGGCAGACTGGGTGAGTCCCCTGTTCAGACCTTCTGCCCCCTTCTTCCAGGCTCTAGAACGGTCGGCTTTCCTCACCAGTTAGGAAGAATGTCATAAATACCAGATCCTAGTTGACAGAAGGGTTTACCACCGAAAACATGAGCGTCTGTTCCTGGGAAACCCCTTTCTTCCTGTAGAAGCTGCATGAACGCTCTTACCTACTCTCTGGCTCCTTTCCATCCCTGTCCCTTTAGACAGGGCAGTTCTCTGGGCTCTCTTTCCACCCCGGCTGTGGCCTCAGGGACGTGGGGAAGGTAGGTGCCTGAAGTCAAACTGGATTTTGGGCAGAATTCCAGGCGGCATTTGATTTGCATTCAGATTCTATCAGGCGGACTTCAGGGGTCGGCGCAGGAAGGGGAGAGGGGATTTGAGCTTCACTTGCTTCTCAGTATCCCCTCCCCCCTTCCTCCCTGTCCTGGAATCGGGATGTGTCTGGAGGAAGAGGGCAGGAGGCTCTGAGCGCATCGCTGTCGCGGCCCCAGCTGCCAGTTCTTAACCAACAAACCCAGGGGATCAGGGGCAGGTCCCGTGAGGGCTGTCAGAGGTGACCCACAGCAGAGGAGTGGAACCAACATGCCCTTCCCTTTACAGCTTCAGATGTAGGCATAGAGCATGTGGTCTCGTGGACTGTTAGATGTTCTGACCCCTGCGGTCCAGCAGGTACACGTAAACCACTTTCCTCACAACTCCTGCCTCTCCTGTTGCTCCTGAAGTGTCCCCTCTAACTGGGGGTTACGTTCTGTCGCGCCTGCTGGGTCAAGGCGTGAGGGATCCCTTGTTCCGGCTCTATTCAGTTTCTGGTTTGCTGGAGCTTCTGTGGGGAAGCCTGGAAAAAGTTGACAGCTGTCTGTGAGTTGAATGATCAGAAATTGGCTCCACTGACTGCATTTTGGGCTCCCGTGCCTGGCAGACATTTTTGTCCCTGTAAAGTAATCTGGCGACATTTTAACCCAGGTTTGTGGGGCTTTAGTATTTGACGGAAGAGAAGGGGAGCTGAGTGCTTGCGGGGCACTCAGAGGGAGCTCTTTCTAACATAAATAAGTTTTGTATCTTCCTCACTGCAACCCTGCAAGGGAAAGATCCGGATCTTCCAGTGGTTATAGATGAGGCTCAGAGAAACTAAGTGCCCCGCCCAGGGTCCCCCAGCTGAATGAGGCTGCGTCCTCTGACCTCCAGAGTCTTGTCTTTTTCCACTGGCCAGTGGTTCTGAGTGCCGGCAGCATGCGTGTCTGGTGCTCTGGGATCTTGTTACAAATGCAGATTCTCAGGCCCATGCATGACTTACTAATTTGGAGCAAGTGAGGAGTCTGGGCAAATTGGGAACAGATATTTGGGTCCTTGAAGTATACTTTTATCAGATAGAGGAGGTGGATGGTCATAAACAACCAGTAACTGATGTGATAAAAAAAAAAAAAAGAGAGAGAAATAGGGAAATACACTAAAGGGGTCTTGGAATCCGTCCTAGGGCTTGAAAGTTCTGTATGACTTACAGGGTCTGTCACTAACGCTTGGGTGTATAGTCAACTGATCGTTCCACTGTATTAATAAGCTACTAATCATGTCTGTGTCAGTTCCTCTCTTTAACATGACCTCTCTTCTCTTCCTTCTTCTGCCTGCCTTTGTTCAGAGAAGCAACAGAAAACTCGCCCATTATGGATGGGTCTGAGTCTCCAACTCACCAAAGCACTGATGAATAGAGGTACTGTAAGGGCATGTTCGGGGTTCCCAGCCTGCCCCCCTTCACTGTTCATGAGTTTGTGGGCTCAGGGCCGCTGCATGTGTTGCCGTGGTCCACACCATCATTTCCAGAAGCAACTTCTGAATGATGTGGAAGCCGTTATTTTTATGCCGTCTTTCTAGATACGTGTGGAACTCTATGTTTGTATGTTTTTATATCGGATGTTAGGTATTCCCAGACTCCGTACAGATACTGGCAGAAGCCTTTACTGGTGTAGGGATCAATGTCCCTGAAAAGAAGAGCATCCTACAGTTTACACCGCAAAGCAACTCAAACAGACTGGGTTGATCCAGTCACCTGAAGGTCGCCCCTGCTTTTATCCAGCATTCCTGAGGGACAGATACTCTGCCAGATGTCCTGCTTTCCAAACTGTGGTCCATAAATGGGCATCACCATCCTCTCTACTTGGGAGCTCATTGGAAATCTGGACTCCTGGGCCTACTGAATTTGAATCTGCATTTGAATGAGATCCCTGGGTGAATCAAATGCACATGCAAATTTGCGAAGCACTGTAGGGGATATCAAACCAGTGACACCTCCTCTGGCTCCCAGGGACCAAAATCTATCTCGTGGATAAGACGGTGAAATGTAAATAGCCATTCAGGGGTCAACTAAAAAGATAAGGACACTATTCAGAAGTGGACAAAATGTTGTAAACTTATCCAACCAAAAAATTCTGTGTTCCAGGAACCATGCTGGAGACCAGAGTTCCAAGAGTTCAAGTTCAAATCCATACCTTGAACCATTTATCAGGAGCCATGCTGTGAGAGTGAGGAAGTGCAGGGCGTAGGTATTCAGTATTCTGAGGGGATGATCTGGTTTCAGGGCACTACCTCTTGAACTTGGGCCTGGACAGAGGCAGGGTGCGGCGCCTGCAGAGGAGCAAGCACACAGATGTTTGGTAAACACCCAAGAGCCTCATTTTGCTATAGAAAATGAGCCAGACTTCCAGCTCAGAAGTAGGGTGGACGAGATCACGGGACAGTGTGGAGTTGGCAGATGGGGGTGAGGAGAACACGGGCTGAGCCTGTGAGTGGAAGATGATGTTAAACAAAATTCATCCGAGGCGATCTGAAAGACTCGATTGGTTTTATTCACCATTTATGAAGGAAGCAGTAACTCATCTCGCAGAAGGAAGGAGCGCGGAGGAGCTATAGGAAATGAGACTTGAATAGCCAGGAGGAAGAGGGAACAAGGAAGCTACGGGAGGCAAAAATCAGTTGGTTATTGTCAAGTCACTCCCCGTGAGGGGTGGCAAGGGTCTGTCAGACGCCCTAACTGGTCAGGGGATTCCTGAGTGCCTGGTTTAAGACTCCATTTCAGGGCGAGCTGAAACAGAGAGGTCTGTTTGGTGACGTGGGGCTTAGGGTGAGTGACTAACATTTGGGGACTCTCTTGAACATTTCTCTCCTTTTGATCCAACTCTCAGCCTGAGAGAGGGGATCACAACCCACTAAGGCTCCAGAGTTCGCGTGGTGAATGTGTGTGTGGTATTTACAGGTCATGACGTCACGTTCGTTCTTTCCGTTGGTCATTCTGTTCCTTTTCTGAAGTTCTGTTCTTCAGGAGATCATTTGCTGGGCGGTTAATGGCTGCGAACATGTATTGAAAGCTTTTCAGAGAACAAAGTCAGCGAGACAACTGTCAGTATAGCAGGATCATGCCCACTGTCTAGAGTGCAGGTTTTTACTGTTTATTTTTTAAAGAGAGCACATGAGTGGGGAAGGGGCAGAGAGGGAGACACAGAATCCAAAGCAGGCTCCAGGCTGTTGGAACAGAGCCCGACACAGGGCTCGAACTCACAAACTGTGAGATAATGACCTGAGCTGAAGTTGGACACTTAACCAACTGAGCCCCGCCAGGTGCCGCTAGAATGCACTTGGGAGCCACGGTCCCCAAAGACCCCTCTGAAGGAGTCACTTTCTTAAGTCAGCTAGCTGGCTTATCTAGTGATCACGTGTAGCTGAGTGTCCACTCCCCCAGAAAGGTCTATCCAAGTGCAGCAAGTGGTGGGGGCCACAGCACCCCATCACCTTGCCCAGCGGAATACTCATCAGGGGCTATCTTACCATCAAGAACAACTTTGGCAGAGTGCCTAGGAAGTCTTGTTAGGCAGCTATTGCCTTAGCAGCGGATTCTGCAGCCTCCTCAGGAGTGCAGGACAGGTTCCTCGTTGTAGCCTTGTTTGCACTTACTCCTGTCCCGGGGGGTTGGATCTGTCAGGGGAAGCCAACTTTGAATCCTTCATAGTAATTCCTGTTTAAGTCTAAGGCTTAGGACTCCACAGAGCAGCACCGTGGAGGCCAGTAAAACTGGGGTGTCTGTACACCCCACAGGCGGTTTTATTTGGTTACCCTTCCCTTGGGTCCCTTTCTTTGAATAGAGCCTGGGTCCGGGCTTCTTAACCAGGGATGGGGACACGGTAGAGAAGGGACTGGGTCCAGCCCAGAGAAACTGAGCACTGGGAATCGGGCAGAAGTTGTGAGGGGCAGAACTATGGGATCACAAGCACTGTGGGAAATCCAGTCTTTTGGGGGTTAGATCACCTTCCGTCTGCAGTGGCGTGAGCTCTGTGAACAATGGCATTACGTTTACAGGCCGCGGCAAGGAAAATGGTGGACAAAAGAATCATGAAGACCTCTCATGGCATAAGTATTAGAGAGAGGATGGTCAGAGAGGGAACGAGGAATGGAAAGAAACTTTCTTACCCCACTTGAGTTTGAGTTCCCCAGCTTTTGCACCAGACCCAAAGTCAGACAGAGCCTTCCGGAGTTGTAAAATAGGCACCCCGGGTCCAACACCTTCTAACTTGGCTGCAGGGTCAGTGGTCCAGAGCTCTTGGGAGGGTCCTTTCCCTGAGTCTCAGTTTTGCAAATTCATCAGAGTAAAACAGTCAAGTGTCTGCAAACGACAAAACGCTAAAGATCTGATTGCAGTTCACTATAAGGGAATTGATGAGGAGGACATTTGGCTACGTCTGTGATACACAAAATGTACAGATAATAACTGGGTATATGAATAACACACCAGGACGTATCAGATTTCCAGAAACTTCATACAGTTTCAAGACCATTTGTACTAATAACGTGACCCATACTAATAATCTAAGAAGGTTTTTATCACTTATTTGACAATGCTTCCCATGGAGGCAAATAAACCTAATTAGTATACCATCTTGTCTAAGGTGAGAGAGAGTGTTCCCAGGGACACTCTAGGGAAATCCCAAAGTTACCTTAAGGTCAGGAAGACCCCCTTGAGAATCTGGTTACGAGAAATTGTTGAAACATCAACAGGTTTGAACACAGGACTAAAAAGGATCCCAGGTCGTTATGAAATAATACTTCATTATCTATCTAACCACAGTGACAGGATGTTAAAGGCCAACAGAGAAAGCGTCCTAGTTGTGAACAAAACTTAGCTCTTTTAATATTGAGAAGACTGGGTTTGCTTATGTGATCGAAGACTTCATAAACACCACATGAAGCACACAGGAAATTCTTTTGCTACGACACACAATCTTTGCTGCATAGGCAGATTACTTAAAAGAATCTTCCAGTCCTTTTAACCGAAATCCAAATTCTACTTTTTGCACCAGGGTGCTTTTGATACTAAAACTCATTGGGGTGGCTCGGTCGGTTAAGCATCTGACTTCAGCTCAGGTCATGATCTCACAGTTCGTGGGTTCGAGCCCCGCATCAGGCTCTGTACTGACAGCTCAGAGCCTGGAGCCTGCTTTGGTCCCCTGTTCACACTCTTTCTCTCTCTCAAAAATAAACATTAAATAAGAAAAATTTTTAAAGCTTATTAAAAAACTTAAATCCATTCCCATCTTAGCCAACCTGACCATGTATCAAATCCCCTTCCCACAAACCACCTACCAATTTTCAGATCCACTCAGATTTTGTTCCATGAAACAAAAAATTGGTAGGTGGTTTGTAGAAAAAGAATCTTGGGAAGGGAATTTGGTATGTGGTCAAGTTGGCTAAGAACAACCAATCATTTTACCCGACTACTTTTTATCCACACTTGTTTCTTTTTCTTATTTATAAGTAATTTTCATTACATATATTGAGGACAATTCTTAACCCTCCGAGGGTTAGAATAGGCCCATAGGCCCAAATATCTTTGTAAAAGGAAGTGAAAAGTTGATAAATCTGTGTTCAGTAATTATTAACATTTTAGTATTTTATTTGGAAATTAGTCAATGGAAGTCCATCCTTTAACTTAGCTCACTGTAACTTTCAGGTTTCAAGTGACTGAAAATTTTGCAAACTTTTTTTTTTCTTTAGAGAAATAGAGTGCAGGGGAGAGGGACTGGGGGAAAACAGAGACTCTCACACAGGATCTGTGCCCAGCACGGGGCTCCATCTCACGACAGTGAGATCACGACCGTGAGATCACGACCTGAGCCAAAATCAAATGTCACATGCTCAACCGACTGAGCTGCCCAGGCACCCCTGGAAACTATTTTTTAAGTAGACTCAGCATAAGCATAACTATTGTTGAAAAGTTGATTTATAAACTTTTATCGTACTTCTAATTTTCTTGTTCTTAATTTTTACTCAAAGTCTCATGAGCATTAAACAGCTGACTGTCCTCTTAAATTGTCTTTTTGGTGACAAATTCCGTAACAGAGAACATGAGCTTATTTGACTTTTAGTTAACCTAGGAAGAAAAGAATCCTTCTGTTTCATGCTGGCAATTCTAAAGACATGCATTTTAATGAAACTAACCAAATTAAACTAGCTTTCATGTACTGAAGATTACCCTAAACCACACGAACCTGAAAAACATTTGGGTTAGTTTTTATTATTCTTAGAGTATACATAATCTGTATAGCCCTTGTCTGTCTTTAAGCCAAATAAACAGAGCCCTTGGCAAATTAATTTTGGCACTGTCATCCAGGGGCAGAGAAGATACACACGTAGGGTGTGCGTACAGACACTTATAAAATCATAGAAACAGATACCAAGATCTTAAAGCTTTTGTTTAAAATTTTAGCCATGAGACAGGTGAAATACTATAAAACTCACCCATTTATAAGAGAATTGGATCCACATCATCCTTCTGATAAAAGAGTAAGTTAAGGTGACAAACTTTTCACCGATACTGGTGAAGACCAGAGCTTTCATTTCCCTAGTTTCTGAAGAACACCGTCTCCCGCCTTTTTTCCCCTCTGATAAGAACCACCTTGATTCCTAGAGAGGAACAAATAGAACACTTACATCTCGATGGCACAGAGAGGAAGAACCCAAGTTCATTTAAGAAGTAATATTGTTACCCTAAGGCCAGAATTTTACAGTACCTACAAGCCTCTTCAGGTGGGTCGGGGAGGTGTGGGGATTGTTAAAAAAATGACAGGGGGGCTTTGAATTGCTTCCATTTGAATTGCTACATTTCTGCTCTTGTGAAGACTTGATTGGTAAGACCACTACAACAGTCGTTTTTAACTTCTCAGAATTGGGCTGCAGCCTGAGTGAGATCACAGGCTCACCCCCGTGCTGTCCCCACTGGGTCGCTTTCAGCCTGCTTCTCTGTCTCTAGGAGAAGATCTTGATCTAAGATGGAAATCTAATTTAGAGCTGTTGGTCTTTTCCATGGTTTTCTTTCCCTCTGGGTGCATAGCTTCATTTAGTCTAGGAGGGGGAGGGTCTCCAAGAAAGTTCCTGTCAGGCCCTGAATGACAGCTTTCAATTTAAGCAACGTCTGACCATAGAGCTATTTTAAAAATCCATTCATAGGTCCTGTGCAGTTTCAGCTGGGACAGTCAGACGTGCAGTCCTGACCCCATGCACGCAAAAGGCATCCTCAGGGTGCGAAGCCCACTACCATCCCGAGATGCAGAGCCATTCCCAAAGGTGGCCAACAGGAAAACAGCTGTCCCCGGGGGGGGTGGGGGGGTGGGTAATGGGTCTGGAAACGGAAAGGAAGGGAATGTGCAGTTTTACCTTCGTCTCTCAAATGGGCACAGCAGATCACGGAAAGCTGCCTCTGGTGAGAACTGCACCCTTTGCTCGCTTCTGCCGGGACCTCCCTTGAAGCAAGTCCTAAGCAAGTGGAGCGTATAGCCCTGGAAGCTACCAGAACTGGGCAAGCCTTTCCAGAAATTTCAATTTTAGTTTCCTGTTGGCTGTTTAATAGAGTAAGGGGTAGCAGCTTCCCATCAGCTCTGAGAAGGGCTCACATGGAGGCCCACGTTCAAGGCCAGTAACTGGGCAGACTTTTGTTCACGGTCGTGTAGTCCCGTCCGAGCAGAAGGCAGTTCAGTAGCAGACCAGGAGCCCTCCAAGGTACAGGACGACGGAGGGAAGCAGGCAGTCATGTCAACCTTAGGGTCTCTGGTTTTAGGTACCTCTTGCGTCTTTTTCACTATCCTTTCGCAGTGCTTCTTTTAATGAAACTGTTTTGGAGTCTTCTGTGTGCTAGTGTAACTCACTCTGCTGCATTTGGCAAACATGCTGTCAGGTGCCCTTAAATGGATGAGCTTGTCTCACTGGAATGTACCCAATAATGGCTAACAACCTCAATAAGGAGGTAAGCTGAGGGAAGCTCAGATTATCAGAAATTGAGTTTATTTGGGAACGGCAGAATTGCACCTTGGGAAACACATGCCATAGAAGCTACAGGGGAATCCGTTGAGGGCTTGGGCTGGGCTTTATTTGTAAAGGTGCGAAGAGGCAGGAGTCTGGCCAGAATCTAAGCAAACTCTTTCGATGGAGGATGGGAAGAGATCCTTGACAGGCGTTCACTGCCTCGGCCTAAGTCTCAGTATTCTGTCAGTCAAGCATTTATGGAAAATCAGTCTCTCTGTTCTTAAGTTCCATTCTGCTGAGGGCACATGCGTGAGAGTCTCCATTCCTTATCCATTTTAGAGAGCAGTCCCTTCACATTCCCCACTCTTGCTCACGATCTTTCGCAGAAAGCATGGCTGATCAGCTATGTCGTTTGCGCACTGTTTCCCCATTTTTCCCTTCCTTGAGCAAAGATGTGGTTAGATGGAGCACACGTCCCTTGGACCTGAGGAAGACCATCCTCTGGTGTCTTGTCCCACAGGAGGGAACCAGAAACTGGATTTCCTGGGCCTCATCTGAATTTGCAGCAATGTCAAAAACCAAACTATGCATCTCTGTAGGGATGAATGAAGTTCAGAAAGGTCCTGAAGAGAATGGAGAGACTGGATGGTGTCTTCTACTGATTCTGGGAATAGCTGTAATTTTTGTAAGGATAGGTTAAGTTTCTTCTGTGAGCCTGCATTGACTGTCTCTATTTTGTCCTTGACCATAAGTGACTCCATTTTAATTTGGTTCTGCAGTTGCTCTTTGTGGCCAAGCCCCCATTTGGGGCAACGTTCACCCATTGTATTGCCAAGTGTTTTTTGCATGGACTTCACCTTTTGATGACCCATGGTGTTCTTCTTCACCATGCCATGAATGGACCCCTTTCGTCAAGGTGAGAGCCGCTTCAGGAATAGGAGCAAGCTCAAGGCCACACGAGCAACTTCTTATATTGGGTCAAAGTGGAGGGTCAGGGCAAGGAGACTTTGTCCAGGGTACAGGTGTTAGACTGGCATTTGCTTGCCCCACGCTCAGCACAGAGCCTGCTCTGGATTCTGTCTCTAAAATCACACAAAAGATTTAAGAATGTGGGGACACCAGTGTACTATAGTTTGCATAGGTATCTGTATTTAATTGGTTGAGTTTAGGTATCTTTGGAGAAAGGTAAAAACGACACTGGGAAGCCTGGGAGCATAAGTTTAACTGTGTAAGGTGACATCAAAGGGAATTCAGAGGTCGCCTGTGCTGGCATTACAGATAGAAGAAAACCTGGTTACGGGAAAGACCACAGGGTCTCAAATGTCATGGACAGAGTGGAGTTTCAGATGGCGAACCCAGCAGTCTGAAAGGTGGTCTCCCTTGGCAACTGCCTGGAAGATCTGGAGGAGGATATTCTATTTCCAAGTTAAGGAGGAACAGAAAAGAACAAACGAGAGAAAACACAGAAGTGGAAGAGTCTGGCTAATTGTTGCCCATGCTGATTTTCAGAGTAAAGGAGGGCAGTGGTGGAAGTCAGGAGTTCTGCACGCCCGGCCGACTTCTCGGGGTAGCAGGCCCCATGGGATTCCCTCTGCTTCTGGCGGCACCAGGGACCTCGCTGCCCTTTTCACTCCTTGAAGGGGGGACAGATGAATGTGAGAGTCACATGCCTTCAAGTTTAGCCACGCAGGAATTGCTAAGCAGTCCTAGGAAGGGTCCTTCAGACCAGCGAAGAGGGAGTCCCTGACTTGACATAGTGCAGGTATCAGATGTCAGGTTGTATTCCTGTTCAGCATAAGCTCCTCGAACTTGTGAGAGGCGTTTCTGAGAAGAGAGAGTAAGTAGCAGTATTTCCTGAGCCTTGCTGGGCATTGCGGGGGTCAGGGTACTGGGCAGGAGGCAGGTGCCTGGATCGGCCGGTCACTAGTTTGTAGGGAGGAACCTGTTCAGCAGGTAAGGACTTCAGATCCGAAAGGACCCGTGACCACACCTCGGTCTAGGGAAATTCCCAAGTCGCACAGAATTGTCCTAATGGGGTTTGAGTGATGCCGTTTGTCCTTCCTCCTAGTCCTGGAGGTTGAGGACGATAGGGCGACACGGCCTTCGAGGCGGGGGAAGGGCTCTGGTGCTCCCAGACCATCAGGAAAGTGACTTCCAAGGTCACTGTGCAAAACAGGGTGGGGGGGTAGGAGGGGGGGCAAAAAGGGTTGATGGCTGCAAGTAATTGTTTTGCTACAAAACTGGCAGTTTGTTGACCAAAAAAAGCTTCTACCCAGTGAAAAACATAGATTGTGACCAATACATACCTGTTCACTTGCTCTTGACGATTATGTTAGTCATGAAAATTTCTCAAGACCTTAAACGGCTGGCCAACATCTTAAGTTAACCTTCCTTGCTAACAAATTTTGTAACAGAGATAAGCTGAATTTAAATAACTAGTAAACACGGGTAGAATAAAAGTTGCATGTCTACATTATATTTAATGCTGATGACTCTGAAGACATTCCTATTTTAATTAAACCTACAAATCTGAGCCTTGATTTACTGAGGATTTATCCCAGATCACAGGAACTTCAAAAATATGTGTTCTGTTTCTCTATGTGTGGCAGTTTTAGAATATTTCACTTAATAAGTGCTTTTTAAGCCAATTAATTAAAACTCTTTTACAAGTTAATTTTGTCATACCATCCAGAGCTAGAAAAATGCCCCCCATTTACAACATACATCCATAGACACACAGATGGATAGAGATCCCAGTAGCTCTCGTTTTCAGTTTTAGCCATGAGGCCAGTATGATCATGCAAAGCTGACTCATTTACAAAAGAACAGTTGGAGCTAAACTGTTTCTGGAAGTCGGAATAATTTCAGGTTACCTACTCAGACAGCCAAAGCATCTGTGGAGAAGATACTTAAGATTTTGATTGGCCTAAACTCCAAATAGCCTTCCCCCCTCTTTTTTTCATCTGCTACAAAACGACCTCGCTGAAGTTTGCATTTCAAAGAGAGGGCCTACCAGCGAAGTTCTTGCAGGTAGACCGTTCCCAGAAGCGCTTTGTTTCCTAATTCCCGATCTCTTAAAATCCCTGCAGGCCTTTTGAGACAAATAGGGGAGGTTTGGGAATTGCTAAAAATGGTAACTGGGATTTGCAGTGCTACTCGAGCTATCTGTGTTCTGATCAAGACTCGATTTGTTCTGAGACAGGGATCCCTCTTTTTAATTCCTTAAGAAACTGGGGTGCAACACAGGCCAGCCATCCAACTACATGATCTTTGGTTTGCTTCTTTTCACCAAGGAGACCTTCAACTAGGATGGATATCCGAAGATTAATATGTTCTAGATTTAGACCTTTATCTCTGGCTTGTTTTAGTAAACCTTCCACAGACTCCTCAGAATGTTTTCCTTTCCCTCTGGGTACACAGTTTCATTTTGGTTCAGGGAGAAGGCCCCCAAAGAAGTTGCTATCTGGCTCTGATGGTGATTGTGTCCTTCCCATTTGACCAACTTCTCACCATAGAGCTACTTTGAATCCTACCTTGCCAGGTTGGAGCTCAACCAGTAAATATTCCTGGTAGCATGGAGCAGCCCATGGACACAAAAGGTGTCCTCAGAGAGGGTACAGAGTACGACTCTCGAGATCTAGAGCCGCTCCCAAACATGACCAGAACAAAGACCGTTCCCAAGCACTGGCACCCCGGGGCCGGAAATGGAGTTCAACCCACATTTCTGCCTGACCGTACAGTGGGGTCCCCAACAGGATGGGTGCCACGTCCCGAGCTAGGACAGCTGTCCCTGGGAGGGAAAGGATCAATAACCTGTGGGTCTGGAATTGGAAAAGAAGGGACGTGAAATCTTCCCTTCCTCTCTCGAGTGGGCTGCAGTAACCTGGGGGAGCCGACTCTGGTTAGGGTTCTCACCCTTCTTTTTCCAGGATTTCCATCTGTGGGCTCTGGAACAAGCGAGGCTTCAATTACAGAGTGTAACTTGGGCGTGAATCAGATTTGACGAGGGGTCCCATTAATTATAGTTTCCCCTTGGCTGTTTCAGGAATAACTGGTAGCCGTTGCAGGAGAGTTCCTCAGCATCCCGCCAATTCTGCGAGGGGCCCGTATGGAGGGCCCTCCTTTGACAAACTTGTATGCATGTGCTCATGTAGCCTCTTCCAGGTGCAAAGACCATTCAGAGGATTAATACCATGAGTACTCGGGTGTAAAGGACGATAAAGGAGGGTCCCAGATCCCATCAGTCATATAGATGAGGTTCTAGGTACCTCTTGTGTCCTCAACTTTTCATTATCCTTTTGCAGTTAATCTTTCAATAAAGCAGTGTCAGAATCTGGAGGCTTCTGCATGCTGACTGAAATAGGTAACCCGTTCTGTTTGTTTCACCTGGGAACCCTTGCATTCGAGTGCACTTCTTAAATGCGTGAACTTCTTTAACTGGACCATCCCTCGTAGTGACCACTGCACTTCCAGGTTGTCTTCGATACTCCTGGTCCATGTGCATGAGAGACCGTAACTTTTTTTTTTTTTTTAACCATAAAACCACTGGGGTCTGGGGGTGAGGGTCACCCTTAGAGCATGGAGATCCTCAGGATCCCATGTTTAGTCTTCCCAAGAGCACAGGATACTTAGGGTTCGGACTCAGGTTTTGTTGGACAGTGTGCCTTCCATGGGAGATGTCCTCTTCATGGAGGACAGCCTTTCCCTACTCGTCTGGCCTAGGACCTGGTGCCGCCTGCTGCACGGAATCGTCTCTGGGTGGCCGGTGAGCTGGTGTGAAACTTGCTCGTCCGGGCGCACCTTGCCCTTGCACAGGGGACTTCTGCTTTGGAGAAGGCCGTCTCTCCGTAATGGCGGCGAGTGCTGTAGCAGCGGCCCCGTCCAGCAGTCAGTTCCCTGGCGGAGGACGGGGAGCCATCCCGGGAAGGTGCTCCCTTCTCAGTCCGGAAATCAGACCCTTGCAGGAAATCGGCCCGTTTTTCAGTTCCCTTCTCCGGAGGGGGTGAGCTTCTCCATTCACGTGTCCTGCGGTTTCGCTGCAGCCTCAGACCCTTTCACAGAGGCCCTGGTAATCCCAGCTGGTCTATGGCGATTTTCCCCTTTGTGGTTGTACACAGCTTCCGGGCCCCCAGGTCGTAGACCTAAAATAAAAGCAGTTGCGCCGGAGGGTGGCACACCCAGTTCTTGGGAAGCCGCGGATCCCGTCTCTGGCTAAGCGTCGGGTCTGTCAGCGACGAGGGCTGTGCCGCCGGCTGGCGGTCTCGTGGTGTCCCACAGTCCGCCTCATCGGGTGCAGTTTCCGGAGGTAGGCGGCTGCACTAGCGTCCGCCCAGCCCGTTCCGTAACCAGCTTCTAACGGTCACCGAGCGCGGTGGCCAAGCGCGCGGACAGCTGGGAGGCGCCGGACCCGGGCCCGCCCACGCTGCAGCTCTGGCTCAGCGCTTCCCGCTCACACCCGCTTTCCCACCCCTTGACCTCGCGTGCACGCGCGCAGAGCCGCAGTCACCCGGGAGCGGACGCCGCGGACCGGCCGTGAGAAGGCCGTGCGCGCGCACCGCCAGCGCTTCCCAACACGCAGCTGCGGCCTGACGGCGCGCACCCCAGCGGGGGGTTGGTAACTCAGGCTGAGCGGCCGGGCCTGCAGAGTAAGCAAGGGCCGAGCTCTCGCCTCAAGCCTCGGGTCCGTCTACACGGAGTGTTAGCACTGGACAGGGCAGCCGATTCGACGGGGAGCTTAAGGCCTAGAGAGCAGAGCTCGAAACGGAGAGGTTCTTACCCAGGGCCCTCAGACGGTGACAGAGAGAACTCGGGGTTCGCAGGTGCCATTGTCTCTGTTTCTTGTCCCTGAAGCCGGCTGAAGTCGTCTTTGGATCCCACGGCCGCCGCCAAGCTGTCAAAAAACAAAATTCAACTGAGTAAATTTTACATTTTAAATTTTAAAGCTTACGGAGTTTATTCAGTCAAGCTGCAGCCCCCGCACCTTGAGCTGAAAACCAGCGCCCCCGTCTTAGGAACCCAGTCTCTACAGGATCAGGAAGGCAGCTCCGGAAGCAGCTCAGAGCCCACCCCACCGTGTCTTACCCATCCCCAAGCCCCCCATTCATCTCCAGAAGCTTTGCAGGTATTTTAAAAGATCAGGATTTAGGAAACAGAATCCTTCTTGGAGAAACGTGCCTTCTTCCCCGTGTCTCTGAGCCGGAAATGCTGTCCCGTAACCCCGTGCTTTGAAGTGCAAACTTCAGGGAGGTCACTCTAGCCAGGAGGGAAAAGCTGGGGGAAGGCTCCTTATCGTCGAGGCAAATGAAAATCTTCAGGGTCTTCTCTACAGCTGCTCTGGCCCTTTGGCTGAGCAGTAACCTGAATTCATTCCAGCTTCCAGAAACACGTTTGGCCCCAACTGTTCTTTAGAACCGACCGAGTTGGGCATTCTCGTGCCGGTCTCCTGCTTACGGGCACCATGGAGCTGGAGGTTCCTCGTTCTTGTCCACTTCTCCTTCCTGCTCCCACTAAGAACTGCGTTCTCAGGAGGAAGCCCATCCTCTGGGCGTGAGGGCTGCGTGGCCTGGCTTGGGCTTCCACCCTGCTTTGAACCAGGGACGGGGGGTGGGGTGGGGAGGATTCAACTTAACCCACCTGCCCACCCAGAGAGAGTTAGGGAAGATGGTCCCCCCACAAAACACTATCTGCCGCCTGTAGATCCAACCAACTTTTGCCAGAAAAACATTCTCAGCCGCTCGGGCACAACGGCAAGGGTCAGTGTTGTCAGCGTGGAGAGAGAGTTGCCGGATGGGTACAAGGGAGTTAGCCCTTTACTACTTAAATACCTAACAGCTCTCTGTGGCTGGCATCCTCAGGGCGTGGATGTTACTTTGCTTCTGAAAGCAGCATTATTTCACTGTATTTCAGGCTTTCCAGGCCCAGGACCCTCATTAAAGGCAACAGCCACAGATGCTTTGTGTTTTCCAACTTTCATGGGTTTTTAATTTACAAAGGTTGCTTTGAGAGAGAGAGAGCAGGGGAGGCGCAGAGAGAGAGAATCCCAAGCAGGGTCCCCACTGTCAGCCCAGAGCCCTCCTCAGGACTCGATCTCTCAGACCGTGAGATCGTGAGATCATGACGTGAGCTGAAATCAAGAGTCGAATGCTTAACCCACTGAGCCACCCAGATGCCTCTTTCGTGGCTGTTTTAAAAGCCCGATGAGAAACATGTACAAAGTCCACAATGCCTTCAGCCATGTGTTCCTAGAGAGATCGGCGTATCAAACAGAAAAATGGGTTCAAGTGCTGACTCTTACAGACCGGTTCAGGGGGCTGCTCTGGAACCGCGCTGTTCCCGGCACCATGTTGGATCAGGGTCTCTTTCCTTCCCCCATCGCCACCCATAACCCAGCCCAGGTGTGGGGATAGCAGCAGGGGAGGAAATTGGCTTCGGCCATGTCTGCAGAATCCTTGTGGGGTTTCCAAAATGGGGCGTCGACCTTCAAAATCCAGCAGTAAAACCACAGACCTACTAACCCGGCGTCACAGTCCAACACCATTCACGGGAATGTCGCGTCAGCGGCTGGAGGCTCAGGGCCCTGGGTGTCACCCCGTAGGAATCAGTACCACCGTCTCAGAGGATACTACGCACGAAGCGGAGAAAAGCAAAGAGCACCCAGGGGACCCCAGGCCCCCCTGTGCCGTTCGGACACAGCACAGGGTGTGAGCCGTGCCAGCCAGCACTGGGCCGGGACAGGCGGACGGCAGGGGCTGCTCCCAGTCGCTGAGCCGGCCCCTGGGCGCCTGCCCGGCAATGCCACCCCCTTGCCACATTCATGGACGTGAAGTTTGACCTTCATCTTGCCCTGAAGGAGCCAGCTTGGGGTTAGAGAGGGGCTTTTTCTCCTAGAAATGATTACTGGCTTTAACACATCTGTGTCATCATATGTAAAAATTACTTCTCCATCTACGTGGTGACTTTTTAAAAGCTCTTTTGTTTTCCATATAGTTTCCTATATGTTTTACATACATTTTGATCATCAGAAAACGATACATGTTACTTAAACAGCACTGACTCCGAGCGCCTGGGCGGTGGCTCAGTTAAGTGTCCAGTGCTCGGTTTCAGCTCAGGTCAAGATCTCCTGGTTCCTAAGATGGGATTTGAGATTCTCTGTCTCTGCCCCTCCCTCAACACACCGTGTGTGTGTGTGTGTGTGTGTGTGTGTGTGTGTGTGTGTGTGTGTGTGTGTGTGTGTGTGTGTGTGTGTGTGTGTGTGTGTGTCTTGCTCTTTTGCTCTCAAAAGAAACTTAAAAAATAAAAAGTAAACAGCATCAATTCGGAAAATGTTTAAACCATGTTCGAAATCCCACCTGTTTCATGATTAGGAAACCCGACCTTTTTGAACAAGCTTCCACCATAGAGGGAAAACCCGAGGTTCCGCCTGAGGCCTCCTGGCGCAGAGGCGAGGTGCTGCTTCCCTGACCACCCCCTCTCCTCCTTCCCTTCCCTGCAGGAGCTACGCCGACAGCTGTTTCCTGGACTCCTCCCTCTATCCAGAACTAGCCGACGTCCAGTGGTACGGGCAGGAAAAAGCCAAGCCCGGGACCCTCGTGTGAGCCAGCCGGCCTCAATCTGACCGCCTCAACGCCATTCTGAGATCACCTCACTGCCTCTCATTTGCCTTACCCAGACGCACTGTCACCCTGCACCAGCTTCGGCCCTCAGCACTTTTTTTCTCCTGTCTCCGCATCCCCTTCACCCTCAAAAACCTGACTGAGGAGACATTCTGGAAGGTTCCGGTCCCACTGTGTGTCCCCTGGCTCTTGCGCCCACGGAGAGCCAGGCGCCAAACCTCAACGGCACCTTGGTGGCTTCCCCATGCCGTGACAGCCCCCAGGCCAGGAACCATCAGGGAAGGTAGCGGACTTCAGACTCCTGTGGACAGGTGGCGCTGGCAGAGAGCAGGCAAGGGGACCTGAGTACAGGGTGATCCAGAAAGACCCTGACGCCATGGTCGGCCTGTACTTGGTGAAGAGGAGGCCCTGCTCGCGTGGGAATATATGGGACTCTGTGGACACTTGAGATATTCCGGGGGGAGGGGGGGGGAGTGGCTGTCAGGGGAGGGGAGAATGAAAAAGGAAGCTTAACATGTCAGAGAGGCCTCTGAGAATCACAATCAGTTCTATGCTGCCAAAGATTAAAAAAAAAATAAAATAAAAAAGGGGGCCAAGAGGAAGACCTCCTCTCTGCAGTGACATCTTTCCAATTCTCCATGGCTCCTCCTCATCACAGGACAAAGTCCACCACGTGTCAGTCCCCCCCCCCCCCCCCCCCCCCCGCCATCCGTCTCTCTAACCGTCCCACCCGCTCTCTCAGGCCAGCGCTGGGAGAACCAGGCCAGCTGCTGCCCCGGGTCCCCGGGGGTGTGGACGGGGAGGGGCAGGCCGTGCCGCCCGCCGGGCCTGCGCAGGGGTGGGGGGGGTCCCGTCCAAGGCCGCCACACAAAGCTGCTCTTCTTCCGGGAGCTGTAGGCACTGGAAGGTGGTGACTGCCAGAAGCGCTTCTCTCTCATTAAAACCACCAGTAAACGAGTGTCCTGTTGTTTCGCACAAGGTGTTTCGTTTTCATTTTGTCCGGGAAACCGAGGGAAAAGCACGTCGCGATCCATTCGCGTGTTGTAACTGTCGTGGCTCATTTTCTATTTGTTAGCACTTGTGTGACAAAGGGCTCACATGCGACTTCGCTCGGGACCCGGTCACCAATGTGTCACTCAAAGACCCCAACAAAGCCCTTAGGTACAAAGATTTTCTCCCGTGTCTACGAGCTAAGGCGGAGCAGGGGGAAGAAAAGCCCGGCTCCCAGAGGGCCCGGACGCCCTCGGCATCGGCAGCTACCTGGATGTGCCACGTTCGTCTGCAGACACCAAGAGACGGAGAAAGGAGAGGAAAAGGCGTGTGGGAGCTGCACGTTTACATGTGTTTTGAGCTATGCTTGATACACAACCGGAAAGCCATCTATCTTCAAAGGCCTCAAAAATACTTTTGTAATAATAACGAGCGCACACTCCTAGTTGGGTCATTCGACATGGCACAAACGCGGTCCCCACAGAGGTGGTACGCTGTGCTTACCGGCGCAAGTGGGGGGCGGGGGAGGGCATCCCTTTTCAAACTTGTAAGGACTTCCTAACGGAAAGGCACTTGGACAGCCAGGGACAGGAGCCAGGGTGGGGTGGTTCTGCAGGAAAGCAGAACCACAGTTAGCTTTAGCGTCGAAAGAAAAATCTTTGTTTCTTACGTATGTGGAAGCCGAGAGTAACGAGAGACTCTACCAGACCAGGAGGGTAGGACGGACACGAACATGAATTCCGTGCCAGTGCTCTCCGTCTGCTGCAGCTTGGAAAGCACCGTGGGTCCCACTGAGGCTGGGACCACTCTGGGCGATCCGGGGCCCGGTGTCCCCCCTCCGTGCACCTCACAGCTGGACAAAGGGACATATTCACAAAACACCTGGGGAAACCTTGGTTCCAATGCTGTGAAGTGATTGTAGGGCTTGAGGGGGTGGGGTTGCCGTCGCCCTTTCTCTGATGATCAGAGCTACAGCCCGCAGGTTTTCTTCCTTCCCCATTCAGAATATTATGCACTGGGCCATTTTTCGTTCTCCCCAGTGACATGCGGATAATCAAACTGAACTCTGTGCAACAGGGAAAGTCGAGAGAGAAACCGAGGAGGTGACAAGGTCACGCGGCTGTGCATTCGCCCCGTAGTTTCAAATCCGGCCTGACGTCCCGTCGGATCACGCTTTTGGCCCAGTTGGGTTTGCAAGGAATCAGAGACGAAAATTCTTTCTCAACACTTGGGTTTTGGATTCAGGAGGCAGAGAGGAATGGGGTGGGAGGGGAAAATCCAGTTCAGACAAAGACCACGATAGTCTGGTAGTAAAGACGGAGATGAAGTCAAACAGGTTTTACTGTTGAGCTGCGTTCAGTTACTACAAAATGTACATACGGTTAGTCCTTGGAGGCCGACATGATTCACGACCAGTGTGGTGGGAAACAATAGCTATTCTGTACGAGCACTTGCAAGCTCGTCCCCGATCCCTGTATCTTTAAAACAAAGTAAGATGGAGTATGATGCCCCTGGTCTGATATAAGCCCCTACTGGATTCTTTGGATACGTGTAAGAAATTGCCTGTTTGGCCTGAAGACTGTTGGGAACACCTACATCAGACTTTGTTGTGAGACAGGTGGATTTTTTTTTTTAATTTTATTATATGCAGGTGAGTGTTGAAACTGTTAAAATTCCGATTCGTTTTCATTCAGTGTTAGTTCTGAATATAGCAAACCCCCTCCAGGTGCTATCAGATGACCAGTTACTGCTTAGTTAACTAGGTGTCAAGTTTTACATATACATTAATGTCAATAGTTTATTACACATTGTGTAAAATGGACTCTAGTTTAATAACGGGGAGAAAGGATTGGGTTGTTCCTGAAACTGACTGTAGAGCATGTAAAATGATTTTCCTGGATTCTGTTCAACTGTAATCAATGAAAAGGATGTACGTTGTAGACAAAGTTGCAGAATTAAAAAGAAATCTGCTTTTAATTTATTCTTTTTGTATTAAGAATTTGTATAGTACCTTTACATTTTGCAAAACAGTGTTGTCAACACTTATTAAAGCATTTTCAAAATGAAAAGATCTCGGTGGCCTCTTGGGAGATTTTGTCTCTAAGTGACCCATGCTTCGGCATGCTCTGGAAATCTGCAGTTCGGGTGCCTTCGCCCTCCTTGGATTCTTTTTTTTTTTTAAGTCAGTCTAAAGCTGATATCCTCGTTGTCCTGCTAGACGCAGTGAGCTCCATTTGTGTGGTCGAGGCGAAGGCTCCCTTACTGTGTCTTGTGAGTTGTACACACAGGATATATTCTCAGTTATGTTCTCCTACCACACAGGGAGGCCTGGGGGTTAGAGGTCAGTCTCGGGCAGGACGCTACGTTAGGATTTGTACTGTCGTTTCTTACGAATCGGCACCAGTATGCAGTACGTGCCGGGGCTGGGTCCTGTTCCCACGAAATGGTGGCACCAACGCCGAGGGCATCTGGGCTCTGGAGGCCGTCCTCAGGCTGGCTGTGCGGCCCCTGCGTCTGTGGAGGGGGCCCGGGGCCAATCAGGGAGGCGGGCAGGACGCTCAGGCTCTTGACTGCTGTCAGCCCTGCGCTCACAGCACGGCTCAAACTCCATCACCGCCATCTGAATCCCATCGCCAGCGCGGTAGCCTGCTGGGCCCCCAGGTGCAAACAGCCCCCCCCCCCTCATTTGACAAAATGGTGCCTGGCCGACTTCTGTAGAGAATGCTCTGCCGTCGCATCCCTGGTCCCCTGGCCCAGCGTGCGTCTCTTCACTAGCAGGAGGCTCCAAGTCCGGAAGCCAAGAACGCCCCTTGGATGGAAAGCTCTTGCTGAAACCTTTGCCACCCAAGCGAGTGAACACAGGTCCAAAATAAAACAACGCCCCGAGAACGTGAGGCACGTCAGAGGCGAGCCCATTAGGACACTTTACCCCTCCTAAGCCCTTCCTCGGGAAGGCAACCGGGGCCTGTCTCAAAAAATCATCGCTGATGTCGGACAAACAGATATTCTTTAAGTCGTGTGTGTTAATCTGTCATAGCTCAGCAAATCAATTCAGTATCTCCTCATGACCATACCATGAAGGCAGCTGGCACACAGCAAGACGGGACTTCTCCACTTCTTCCCCGCTTCTCCCCACCTTTTACACTACACGCACGCGCGCACTCCCCTTACATCGTGCTAACCAAGCAGTTCCAAACAGCTATTATTTTGATTATTAGAACACAAAACGCCCAGTAGGAAGCATGAAAAATAGCCAGGCGCCCTGCTGCTTTGTCCCAGAATACCAGTTCCAAATAGCTCATTCGGAAGATTCTCTCCAAAGCGAGTGGCAGAGAACCACCGGTGAGGGTGAGCGGGCCGTCCTTCACTGCATGTCTGGGAGTGAGTCCAGGGCCTCAAATGCTCCCCCCTCACACGGATGAGGCACAGGCAACCACTGCACAAGGGGAAACGGGGCAGCCAGCACTCAACAGACAGAAGGAAGAGATCCAAACGAGCCCAGAGGAGACATCAAGGCGTGTCTAAACGCGATCTCACTGCTGACCTCGTCTGAGGAGCCGGCTGGTGGAAGCCGCGGCAGAGAAGAGGGAAAGAACTGCCGCCCCCCTCCTTGGCCTTGAGCAAAGTCTCGCCCCCGGCCCACCCACGGTCTCTTCAGAGAAGACCTGAAGGGCCTGGCTTGACACGCAGGAGTCTAACCAGTGAGACTGAGAGAATTTGCACATTCACAATTGCACCAAGACTTTTTTTTTTTTTTTTTTTTTTTACCAGAAACCCATTTTTCTCTCCATCAAAACAAGTGGGTTCCTTTGGTGTTTCATTCATTCATTCATCTGTTTTCTACGAAGCCCAGTGCCATCTAGCTTCTGTGTTCCCCACTCGACCAAAATCACTCCTGTCGAGGTCAAGGATGACTCCCATGGTACCAAAAAACAATCGTTAATTCCTGTAAAGGTCAAGGACGACTCCCGCGGTACCAAATACAATCATTAATTCTCTGTTCTCATCTCACGTGACTTACCGGCTACGACCCAGCAGATCCCCCGGTGTCCTCTCGGGTTTTCCTGCTCACGACGGTCAGCCAGGGCTCTCTTTCCAGCCTCCTGGGTAGTTTTCATCTCCCTGGTGCCACAGCATTGGCGTGTCCCAGCTGTCTGTCCCCTTTACCATCCACCACTCTTCCGGTAGCTGGCCTCCGCTCTCACGGTTTTAAGTGTCGTGCAGGGCCCGACGACACCTGTTTTCATCCCCGTCCCTGAGCTTGGACATACTCCTGCCTGTCCACGTCTCCCCCTGACGATGATCTAACATGCTCGCATGGCCAGAGCTCACGTTCTGACCTTCCCCCTTCAAACCTGCTCCACCGTCTCCTTCCTCGGCCCGGCCACTGGCAACGCCGACCATCCAGGGCTCGGGCACAAATCTTGGGATCATCCAAAAATCCTGCAAGCACCCCTGGAGGCTTTCCGGTCATTCTTCCTCACCTCACAGCTGCAGCAAAGTCCCTGGCCTACAGAGATTGCTCTTCTATTGTGAGTGCAGGGAGGGAGATGATAAAAAGTTCTAGAACACACTAGAAGGTGCTAAGAAAGCAGGGTCAGTCAGTGGTAGCTACCACTCAGGGTAGGGGAAAAAGGCGAGGGGAGGTTAAGGCTAGAAGCGTGGAGGTGCCCTGTGGAGCGGGGAGTCAACCCTTTGAGGAGCGGACGCAGTGGGCGCCCCAAGCACCTGGCGGGGCCCACAGAGCTGGGACTCAGGCCCTAGAAGGGGCCGCACAAGCCTACGGCACCGCAGTCTGAGTGGCAGAACAACGCTGGTTCTCCAAAGCATGGAAAACTGGCAAATGGAACCAACTCCTCCTTCAGGAATTAAGCGCCCCTGCTGGGCTGGAGGGCCGTGGCCGTGGCCGTGGCCAGCACTACCAGGGACAGGGAGCCAACGGAGAAGCAGGTGCCTCTGCCCGCCTCCTGGCTCCAGTCTCTAGCACGCCTGTGGATCGGGAGGACCGTGGTTCGCAGAGTCTCGTCTCATGTGTGGTGGCAGCAGGGAGAGAAGAGCCTCACGACCTGCGCCCACGGGCCAGCTGTGGCCACCAGCTCGATAGCAGGCCCACGGTGCCTCGTCAAAGCATGAACCCCCAAGGCTCTAAGATCAAAGAGAGGCTTGTAAAAGCTACTGCTACATTAAGAGCAAGCCGCTCTTCGGTTTTTAGATTAAACAAAAAATTGTATCAAGAGGTCTGGGTGCCTCAGTCGGTTAAGTGTCTGACTTTGGCTCAGGTCACGATCTCACAGTTTGTGGGTTCGAGCCCCACGTCAGGCTCTGTGCTGACAGCCAGCTCAGAGCCTAGAGCCTGCTTTGGATTCTGTGTCTCCCTCTCTCTATGCCCCTCCCCTGCTCATGCTCTCGCTCTCTCTCTCTCCCTCTCTCTCTCTCAAAAATAAACACACATTAAAGGAAAATTAATGAAAAACTGTATAGAGAACAAAAAGCCGCAAGTACCTTTCTGGCCCATGTGAGCACAATGTGAGTCATGGTCTCCAAAGGAACAGCAAGTCAAAGCCGATTTTCCCCAAAATAATGAAGTCACAGCATGTACCTTCTCACGTATCTTTCACATCAGTAACAAGTATTGAGGACTTTTCGCTCTCAAAGTCATCTGTTACTATAATGAAGATCTGGGGATAAACATCAGAGAGAGACAAGAGCTAGATGCTTCCGTCCAATAAACTGGGTGATGAAGCGCCACTAGAGGCCAGAAGCACCCCTCTGGGTCTCCAGCACCCGGCTGTCTTTGAACTGCCTTTAATATCAGCTGGACTAAGGGCTTTTCTGCAGTTGAAATGACATGGGGCCCACATCTGCAGCGCCCCCCCCAGATGCCTGCAGTCACACATCCGTCATACCAGGGTGTGGCAAAGTCCCATCTTACTCCAGCTCAGGCAGGTGCACCCTTAGAGCACCGTCACATACCTGCCACAAGTCTCGGTTCCGTACGCTAAGACATCTGAGTAATGTCTACACTGCCTGGGGACTGGAGTCAGGCGCGAATGTGGGAGCGCCCCGTGCTGGGACCTCACCCCATGGTACGCTCACAACCCAGAGGCCCCAAGGAAGACAGCTACGATGGTTGTGTCAACATGACTGGTACATGGGGTGCCCAGATGTCTGGATAAATGTTATTCAGGATGAGGGCGTCTGGGTGACTTAGTCAGTTAGGCGTCTGACTCTTGATTTAGGCTCATCATTATCTCCTGGTTTCCTGACTCCAAGCCCCACATCAGGCTCCACCCTCTGCTTGGGATTCTCTACCTCCCTCTGTCTGTGCCCCTCTCGTACTTGTGCTCTCTCTCAAAATAGGAAGGGAGGGAGGGAGGGAAGGAGGGAGGGAGGGAGGAAGGAAGGAAGGAAGGAAGGAAGGAAGGAAGGAAGGAAGGAAGAAAACATTATTCTGGAGATTCATGTCTGAATCAGTGGCCTGAGTAAAGCAGATGGCTCCTCGCAGTGTGGGTGGGCCCTGTCCAATCAGTTGAAGGCGTGGGAGAATGCACACACATGCTCTCTTTGCCCAACTGCTCAACTAGGATATTGGGCTTCTCCTTTCCTGAGACTAGAACTTACACCGGTTGGCTTTCCAGGGTCTCAAGCACAGGAATTCCTACCATCGGCTCTCCTGGGCCTCTAGTTGCAGACAGCAAATCACAGAACTTTTGAGCCTGCGTAAATGATTTAAACAGATCTCCGTCTTCTATTGGTCTCTCCCTGGACAACCTAAGAAAGCAGCCCAAGGTTTATACACTGACTCCACGATACCACCTACTATCGACTCTGCCATCTTTAGCATCTCTCTCTCATCGTCATGATAACAGGACAGTGGCAAAACAGCGGAGACTCAGGAGCACTTTCCAGAAAGGAACACAGAAAGGGCAAAAGATGTCTGCCAGCTAAGTCTGTTTCTCTTAGAAGAGCAACCGCTTTCCTGGAATCCCCGCCCAACAGGCCTCTCTACACAGGCTACTGGCAGAACACGTCACAGAACCAACCCTAATTTCAAAAAGCCATAAACCCGCAAGTAGGTTTAACTACACACTGTAGCTCTGAACAAATTACCCTTCTATTAGCAAAGAGGAGGAGAATGCAAACAGGGTAAGCAACCAGCAGGGTCTACACCACAGAAGGCATCTTAACTTGCACACCAAAGGAAAAGAAAAATGGCCAAGTCTTAAATAATAATCTAATAAAACTGAAGTTTACAAAAACACAAAACTCACTCCTTAGACTTCCTCTGCCTCAAATCCTATACCCTTAAGGTACACCAGCATGATGACATCAAGAGAAAAAAATGACATGAAGACTGACACACATGATTTATATAAAATCCAGCAAAGACAGCTAACAAAGATTATGTTAACATCTGAGCTAGTTATAAAATCATTTCCCCTCCACATAAAAAGTAACCTAGCACAGAGGCAAGCCACAGAGTGGGAGAAGTATTTGTAACACATTTATCTTAGCAAAGGACTCATAGCCAGAAGAAATATAAATCAGTAAGGAAAAGGCAGGCAATTCAATAGAAGTGGACAAAAGTAAAATCCTGAATGGAAACCTCACAAAAGAGAATATCCAAATGGCCAGTGAGCATGTAAAAGTGGTGCTCAGCTCTGTCATCAGGGAAATGCAAATTAAAGCCACAAAACAATACCATTTGAACTCAGCAGAGGGGCTGCAACAAGAATGACAGAGGACATACTATGTGTGGCCAGGCGGTGGAGGATCTAGGACTCTCAAATCCTGCTTGTGGGACTGTCAAGGGTACAAGTCCTTCGGAAAATTCTTTGTCAGAGTCTTGTATAGCTGACTATGTTCATAACGTATGTCCCAGACATTTCACACCGTGGTGTAGACCCATATTCACCAAAAGATGCACACACAACATTCATACAATAATTGGAAGCAACTCGAATGTGTAACAACAGTAAAATAGATACTTCATGGGAGGCAGCAATGAGAATGAACCACAACCACAATGAGGATTAGAAACTGTAAGAGACGGGTGCCTGGACGGCTCAGTTGGTTAAGCATCCAACTCTTTTTTTGTTTTTAAGTTTCTTTATTTGTAAGAGAGAGAGCATGCGTGTGCACGTATGTGACTGGGGGAGGGGCAGAGAGAGAGGGAGACATAGAATCTGAAGCCGGCTCTAGGCTCTGAGCTGTCAGCACTGAGCCCAACACATGGCCTGAACCCACGATCCACAAAACCATGACCTGAGCTGAAGCTGGACGCTTAACGAACTGAGCCACCCAGGCGCCCCAAGCATCGAACTCTTTGATTTCAGGTCAGGTCAGGATCTCATGGTTTGCAGGATCGAGCCCCTTATCGGCTCAGCACTGACATCGCGGAACTTGCTTAGAATTCTCTACCCCCCACCTCTCTTCCCGTCCCCAGCTCACACATGCACTGTGTCTCTCAAAATAAACATTTTAAAAAAAAGAGAAAGCAAACATAAAATAAGTCAAACATACTGAGCCCATGTATAAATGAGCAAATTAACAAACAGGCCAAACTAACCACTGTGGGAAGTGACTGCTAATGGGTATAGGGTTTCTTCTGGGGGTGATGGAATGTTCTAAACTTACATCGATGATGGCCCCACACTCTGAACATTCTAAATCCACCATATACTTTAAATAGGTGAATTTTATGATATGGACATTATGTAGCAGGTTTTTGGTTTTTTGTTTTTTTTAATGATGTTAAACATTAGGACCGTGATTGGGACTAGAAGGGGCATGGAATTTCTGGAGTGTTAATAACATAATCTTTCCTGACTCAGATGCTAATTACTTTGGAAGGTGCTCACACCAAAAGACTTACCTTGATACAGTACTCTTCTGATTTGTACCTTTTTCTCTGCCTTACAATTTGCTTAAAGATTTATATTAAAAGAAATGCAGTCTAGCCCTACCTGAGCCTAAGGAAATCATCTTTAAAGGGCTGAGCAGCAAAGGAAACAATCAACAAAACTAAAAGGCAACCAACAGATTGGGAGAAGATAATTTGCAAATGACATACCGGACAAAGGGTTAGTAACCAAAATCTATTAAGAGCTTATCAAACTGAACACCCGAAAAACAATACAGTGAAGAAATAGGCAGAAGACATGAATAGACACTTTTCCAAAGAAGACATCCAGATGGCCAACAGACACATGGAAAGATGCTCAATATCACTCATCATCAGAGAAATACAAACCAAAACCACAATGAGGTACCACCTCACACCTGTCAGAATGGCTAACGTTAACAATCGAGGAAACAATAGGTGTTGGCGAGGATGCGGAGAAATGGGAACCCTTTTGCACTGTTGCTGGGAATGCAAACTGGTGCAGCCGCTCTGGAAAACGGTATGAAAGTTCCTCAAAAAGCCAAAAATTGCATTACTAGATATTTATCCAAGCAATACAAAAATGCTGATTTGAAGGGGCACATGCACCCCAGTGTTTATAGCAGTGCTATCAACAATAGCCAAGGGGCACCTGAGTGGCTCACTCGGTTAAGCAGCAAACTCTTGGTTTCAGCTCAGGTCATGATCTAACTTTTGTGAGTTCGAGCCTTGAGTCAGATTCCAGTGCAGAGCCTGCTTAGGATTCTCTCTCTCCCTCTCTCTGCCCCTCTCCCACTCACCCTGTCTCTCTCAAAATAAACTTAAAAAAAAAAATATGCAAAGAGCCCAAATATTGACTGATGAATGGAAAAAGATGTGGTGTATGTACATATACACACACAATGGAATATTACTCAGTGATCAAAAAGAATGAAATCTCTATATTTACAATGATGTGGATGGAGTCAGCAGGTATTATGCGGAGCGAGAGCAGTCAGAGAGACAAATACTCGTATGATTTCATTCATATGTGGAATAGAACAAAACAGATGAAGATAGGGGAAGGGAAAGAAAAAAAGATAAAAACTGAGAGGGAGGCAAACCATAAGAGACTCTTAAATACAGAGAACTGAACGTTGCTGAAGGAGAGGTGGGTCGAGGGATGCGCTAAAGAGGCTTAAATACAGAGAACTGAGCGTTGCTGAAGGAGAGGTGGGTCGAGGGATGCGCTAAAGAGGCGCCGGGCATCGAGGAGGGTGCTTGTTGGAATGAGCACTGGGTTTTATAAGTAAGTGATGAATCACTGAGTTCTACTCCAGAAACCCATACGACACTGTATGTTAACCTGAATTTAAATTGAAAACAAAGCGCTAAGCAAACCCTCAACAGATTATTTGACGGGATACTAGAATCTGTTAAGTTTCTCTGCCCCAATCTTACCTCTGGCCTCTCATTTATTTTATGCCTTGTTTAATCTTGCTTTTTACATACCTGACAGCCAGCATAAGGTGGTCATCTATCCACGCTGCTTATCATATACAGTGTTGTCACAGGAATTCTCTCCTTGGGGGACAGACGCTTCATTTGAAATCTAAGAATTACTGCTTCAGAAGGATTTAGCATTTAAAAAGTTTTAAAACCTGCTAAGCTTCACACTAACCTCGAACGCTGAGTGTGATCTCTACACTTCTATGTTTAAAAACACTTATTTTTTTTTATTTTCCTAACTATGTTTAATAATGTGTTGTTATTATGTTAAACTAGCATAACTAAGCTCTTAAACCTAAATTATCTGTACATGAGCAATTCTTGGTTAAAAAGCTTTTTAGAACTAGAGTCTGTTTGCTGAATTCGTCTGTCAGGTCATTTCCTTCCTTAACTCTGATCCTTACTTTCAATAGGTGGTTTTCAAACTGCTGGTCACAACGCATTATTAATGGGTTTGTCAACCAGTTTAGGGTCACCACCAGCGTAGTTTTAAAAGAAATACAAGAGAAGAGTATGTACGTGCTTTTGTTCCAGTTACATATGCAATTATGTACACAGACGTTTGTACCTGTTTACCCGGAGTTGTGGTCGGGGAAAGTTCCAAGTTTTAACACTCCTACCTCACAGGACAACGGCAACTCTAAGCCTGGCCCAGACTGACTGCAACACGAATGTTCGCCATCTCTCCCGAGCCCTTAGGGCAGGGCCGCTGGAGAGGAAAGGACTTTGGTTTGGGCAAGCCGTCGACCTGGGACTTCAGAAAGGCACAGGGGCCGGCTGTGCGGATGACGCCCGCCCACCGCGGACGGAAGCTCGGTGAACACTTCTGATCAGGGTCACCGGCGATAATCGCAAAGAAGCTCCAACCTTCTTGGCTGCTCTCCACGGCCAAAGTACGTGCCACGCTTAAGTGCTGGAGGAAGAGCCGAGAAGGCCGACCGTTATTTCACAGCTGGGGCCCGAAAGCTGGGAGGAGAGACGCCCCAAAACCCAGCCGATTCAACAGAGTAATCACAGTGGATTATTAGTTCAAGCAAGTTGTGCCAAGGACCCTGACGTTTACAACGGGGCAAAGTAAGTCGGTCATCAAAGTTTTCATAATAGACTGTTTCGGTAAATGTAAAAAACAATTCTTTTTAAGGAGCACGGCTCCCAAATCCTGAATGGGGACGGCTCACCCCACAGCGGCCGCCGCCAGCCACGCCGGGCTCCCCCTGGCTATCCCACACCACCACAACGTAGTTTTAAATTTCAGAAGACTTTAAGGATACCGTTAACCACTGAAGTACTAGCGTGTGGTAGAAGTCAGCCAATCGAGCTGCAGAGTCTGTGATGGAAACCAGTCGCCCTAACAGTGTTCCCATAGCGACCCTCGGGGACCGGAGCTGGCGCCGCATGCTCCGGACAGCTGCAAGCTCTTACATCAACATGCCGTGAGAAAGGGCTTGTAGTTCAAGACACCCAATCTGATTCCATAGCAGGCACTTCTCGTCTGCGAGGGGCTTCATGGGAGTATCCCGGGGGAGGCGCATCTTCAAGATACTCAAAGGAAATAGCCACACTGCGACTTAATGCTCCCCTTTCACTAAAACTGACCCCCCTAAGTTCTACCACCTTCTTTGTTAAGAAGCAGCATTAAAAGGGGTGCTGTGTGAATGAAAAGGAGCCAGCGATAGGAATCCTCAAATTCAAATCTACCAAAGACCCTGGAACACTTTGCTGTAGTCTTTTCTAAGCTGTTTACTGTCAGAATAAATTATTCCTATCTTTCAAATAAAAACACAGTTAGTTGTATTTCTCAGGTATTTACTGAGGTCAAAACCAGGGTAATCTAAAGTGTGAGAGCAGGTCTGGAAATCACCAGAAGGAAGAACTTAACATGGAGAAGCCCTACTGCTATCAATCCTATTTCCTATTCCTCCAAATGCTGAGTTCAGAGCCTGCCGCAAACCCCTCAGTTCTGTGACCAGCGACAGCCGCCTTCGTGGCTCTGGTCTCTCGGGGCTTCCCCTTTCTTCTTAGGAGATTTGGACCCTCCTCTTTCTCTCTCTTCCTCAAGCTTCCAGACTGCCACAGGCTCTGGGTTGCAAGGCTGAACAATACTGCTTGGTCTCTGCAGTTGGCAAGAACACTCCCAAGAAACGCAGTAGTATTTCTGAGAGAAAAGCAGCATTTTATTAAGTCTGAATCCAGAAAGACAGAACTCCTTTGGAGAGGAATCTAGGCTGGCGGTAATGGGGAAAGGGAAGAACACTTATTTCAGGACTATGATTGATTTTTAAAGGATGCCTTTGTCGTTCTAAGAATAGCTAAAACCAGAAGTGTGTAGTACCTGCTACACTACGATTTTCATGTTTTGGAGCGTGTGGGAGGCCACTATTCAATGGGGCCACATGACTATCTGCACTTATCAGACCTCTACGTTCAGGAAAATGGAAAACTTTTCTAGGAACCTACTTCCCTCTACCCAAGCCCAAAATGGTTAACATTCACAGGACTGTAGAATGTTTCCTTCTGCACCCTAAAACCTTATACCCATACTGATCAATTTTAGAAGGTACTGGTGTCACATGATAGTTTCTTCCTTATATGGAATATTAACAGCAAATGGGAAGACAACATGAAATTAATGGACTACCATGCTGTGGTAAAGCATGCTGTGGTAAAGCATAAAGAAAAATACTCTGGGGAGTGTTCATGCAATGATATTTATCAACAAGCCCTACCCAAGATGGTATAACTAAAGCCTAGACTAGCGTCCTAGCTTATAAGAGTCCATCTTTCATCTGCCCTAGAGTAAGCTCTCCTAAGCTGTACCCAATTCAATTTTAAGAAATGGTTTCCAAAATGGGGAGTGGGGTAGGGATTCAATTCAGGGTAGTGGGCTTCAGCCCCCACTGTGCAAAACACCAGCAGACTTGATCAGATGGACACGGCTACACACAAGTGACCAGAGGTGCCTTTCATGCCTTCCCACAGGAGCCAGAGCAGGTGAGCATCTACACTGCAAGCATCTACACGCATCTATGCTCTACTGGCCTGAGCTCCTACCACACCCTCTCACCTTTTGAACTGAGCACGGGCTGAAGGAGAGGGCGGTCCCAGAGCCTGGACGGAAGCCTCAGCCACAGAGCCTTAACGGACGTGTCTGCCAGGAAGGCTGTTGCTACTACCACCACCGTTACTGCTGCCGCCCTTCTGTGAGCACACACGGCCTCGCAACGTAGGCCTCAAGAAAGCTACTCTGGCTACACGCTAATGATCAGGAAGCAATAATCAATATTCACTGAGCTCTCATTTGCTAGGCAGTGTGCTAAGCATTTTATTTTACTTGAACACAACCACAGTGCTGAGGTACGTACTACGTTCAGGAACTACCACTGCACGTAGGCAAAAGGAGGCTGGGAAACAATAAGTTACTTGCCCACAATCACACACTCGGTGGGTGGACAGCTGCAATCTCAAGCTCGGAAGATCTGACTTGGGAGCCCCCACTCTTGCTGCTCACTGTCCCACGGCACCACTCCCCCTGGCCAGCTGTGCTCTCTTCACCCACCTTCCTCTGTGAATGGAGTCCTCTGACTTCCCGGGCAGAGCCATTCATCACCATAACCTGGGTAGGACACTGTGAGATTCAGAAGTCCTCATCTGTGCAAAATCAGACCCGTGACCTAGGACTCAGGTGGTGACGAGGGTCCCAGAACACCGCTCCTCTGCTTGGCGGCGGGGAGCTGGGAACTGCAGTCCACCACAGGCCCGGCCACAGTGACACGAGCAGGCAGGCCTATTCTGGGAAGAACCAGTGGCATCAAAATGTCCCCATCCTTGGCTGGCTTGACAATCCATTTCCCCACCTTGAACCTTGATGCACTGGGGTTATGTAATTTAAACTCCTGCTGGGATACCACCTTTTTCAAACTTCTATTTCCTGTTCATTCTATCTGTCCCAAGAGATGACGAACACTAAAATCTACACTCCTTATGAGGTAAAAGCAAGCCTTGAAATGCAAGAAAAACACTCCACAGTAATAACATTTACATTCAAATTCTACTGCAAGATGGCCCAAATTCAGCAACATTTAAGGACTATAAAGTTTCATTAAATGGTTCCACATTTTCATTGAAATATATAAAAATATTTTTTATAAATACTGCATAAAAGACAATGTGAAAATTACCATATTTTACAGAAATAATTAAGTCCATCCTCAAATGTTCCTTTTTAATCATCTGCCAAGTCTCAGGTCTAGAGGGAGAAAGTCATTTTAAACCCCCTTCTGTGACAGTTGTCTACACATTTAAATTATAAGAAGTCTTTAGAACTAATTTTTCGTCTATTTAAAGCAAATGACACAAAAATCCATTTGCAGCCAGATATGATATGAGAGCCAACACTGTTTCTTAAAACCAAGAGAGTTGCGTTAGGTAGGACTCAAACACAAGAAACTCCATTTTTCTTCTTCCCTCGTTCTTGTTGGTAATTCCAGAAGTCCGCCCCACATTCACTTAAGCTTCTTGTCACTTTACACCACGCACAGATTTCACAGGGCATTGTACTCCACACATTTTGATGGATCTGTAGGGAAGTGCTTCTGGCAGATGGTCATTAACCTCTTCAATCCCTAAGAAAATAAGGAGAATAAAGACTGGTTATGATACAGCTGAAGTAGTCTTAACTGCACCTCTCTGTACTCACTGGTGTACCAGTGTCTCCACGAAAATGTAGCAGCCCCCAGCAAGACCACTCAGATGCTCACTCAGAGAAACGTTTGTTCGCGTGCACCCAAGAGAAGTACAACACAGTCACAACAGAACTGCTGGCAGTAACAACAAAGTACTGGAAACCCAAATGTCCACGAGAGGAGAACGTATGAATAAGCTGTAATATACTCACAAATGGAACATCTGACAACACTGAAAGTGAATTAGCTAGAACTCCAGCAGGTTCCACTGGAGAGGTAACCCCAGCTTAAGCACCCACTGTATGTACTTTTATGTACCATCCCTGTAAGAAGTGACAGAAGAGTCACTCAAATCATCCGTGCTACAGGAGAGAACTGTGTTGATGAGGGATTCTGGTTGAGAATAACTGATATACATACACCTTAGAAACAATGTTGAATAGGTTCAGGGCCAACATGGTGGAGAAGCAGGGGGATCCATACTTCCCAAGTCTCTCAAACAAAGAAGGGTTGAAGCCAAAGGACTTTGAACCCCAAGAGTCTGGGAGGAAAAGAGACTGAGTCTACCAAGGAGAAACACAGAAAACCTGATGGTCCATAGCTGGGTAACTGTGAATTGGGGGAGATAAAACCGGCTGCACAGGCACAGAGAGGAGGGATCCCCTTCTGCAGAGAGACAAAGAGAAGAGAAAGAGCAGCTGGGGAAGTGAAGGACCCAATCTGGACATGGAAAGCACAGAAGACAGCAAAGACTCTACTGCTGCAGAGATCAAGGATCTTAAAAATAGTCAGGATGAATTAAAAAATGCTATGAATGAGGTGCATAATAAAATGAAGGTGGCCACAGCGCGGATTGAAGAGGCAGAGGGGAGAATAGGTGAATCAGAAGATAAAATGGAAAAAGGGGAAGCTGAGAAAAAGAGAAAAAAAATCCACAATCACAACGGAAGAATTAGAGAACTAAGTAATGCAATCAAATGGAACAATAACCGTATCACAGGAATTCCATAAGAAGGAGAGAGAGAGAAAGGGGGTTGAAGGAGTACTTGAACAAATCACAGCTGAGAACTTCCCAACCTGGGGAAGGAAAGAGACTTTGCAATCCAAGAGACACAGAGAATTCTCCTCAGATGTAACTTGAATCGATCTGCTGCATGACATATCATAGTGAAGCTGGCAAAATACAAGGATAAAGAGAATTCTGAAAGCAGCTAGGGATAAAAGGGCCTAACATACAAAGGTAGACACATATGGGTAGTAGCAGACCTATCTACTGAAACTTGGCAGGCCAGAAAGGAATGACAGGAAATCTTCAATGTGATGAACAGGAAAAATAAGCAGCCAAGACTCCTTTATCCAGCAAGCCTGTCATTCAGAATAGAAGGAGAAATAAAGGTTTTCCCAAACAACAAAAACTGAAGGGATTCATCACCAATGAACCAGCCCTACAAGAGATCCTAAGGGGGACTCTATGAGGGAAATGTTGCAAGGAACACAAAGACATCACCACAAGCATGAAACCTACAGAGAACACAATGACTCTATAAACCCATATTCTTCAATAACAACACTGAATGTAAACAGACTTAAATGCTCCAATCAAAAGACACAGGGTATGAGAATGGATTAAAAAAAAAAAAAAAAAGACCCATCTATTTGCTGTCTACAAGAGACTCATTTGAGACCTGAGGACACCTTCAGATTTAAAGTGAGGGGATGGAGAAATATGTATCATGCTACTGGAAGTCAAAAGAAAGCTGGAGTAGTCATACTTATACTGGACAAACTGGACTTTAAATTAAAGGCTGTAACAAGAGATGAAGAAGGGCATTATATAATAATTACAGGGTCCATCCATCAGGAAGAGCTAACAATTATGAATGTCTATGCACCGAATTCAGAAGCACCCAAGTATATAAAACAATTAATCACAAAACCATAACCAATCTTATTGGTAGGAAATGTGGTAACTGCAGGGGGCTTTAACATTCCCTTACAGCAATGGACAGATCATCTAGACAGAGGATCAGTAAAGACACAATGGCCCTGAACGATACACTGGACCAGATGAACTTGACAGATATATTTAGAACTCTACTTCCCAAGCAAAGGAATAGACTTTCTTCTTGAGTGCACATGGTACATTCTCCAAGACAGATCACATACTGGGGCACAAAAGAGCCCTCAGTAAATATAATATATCTGAGGTCATACCATGCATACTTTCTGATCACAATGCTATGAAACTTGAAATCAACCACAGGAAAAAGTCTGGAAAACCTCCAAAAGCATGGAGGTTAAAGAACACCCTACTAAAGAACAAATGCAACCAGGCAATTAGAGATTAAAAAATATATGGAAACAAATGAAAATGAAACTACAACAATCCAAACCCTTTGGAAGGCAGCAAAGGCAGACCTAAGAAGAAAATACATTTCATTCCAGGCCTATCTCAAGAACAAGGAAAATCCCAAATACAAAATCTAAAAGCACACCTAAAGGAACGAGAAGCCAAAGAGCAAAGATACCCCAAACCCTGGAGAAGAAGAGAAATAATAAAGATCCGAGTAGAAATAAACAATATAGAATAAAAACAAAACAAAAACCAGTAGAACAGATCAATGAAACTAAGAGTTGCTTTTTTAGAAAAAATAAACAACATTGATAAACCAGTTGGCAGGGTTCTCAAAAAGAAAAGAGGACTCAAATAGAAAAAATCACGAATGAAAATGAATTTATTATAGCCAATCCCTCAGAAATACAAGGAATTATCAGGGAATACTATGAAAAATTATATGCTAACAAACGGGACAATCTGGAAGAAATGGACAAATTCCTAAACACACATGCACTACCTAAACTCAAACAGGAAGAAATAGAAAATCTGAACAGACCCCTAACTAGTGAAGAAACTGAATCAGTTATCAAAAATTTCCCAACAAATTAAGAGTCCTGGGCCAGATGGCTTCCCTGAGGAATTCTACCAGACATTTAAATCAGAGTTAATACCTATCCTTCTCAAGCTGTTCCAAAAAATATAAATGGAAACAAAACTTCTAGACTCATTCTATGAAACCACCATTACTTTGATTCCCAAACCAGACAGAGACTCAGCAAAAAAAGAGAACTACAGACCAGTATCCCTGATGAATATGGATGCAAAAATTCTCAACAAGATACTAGCAAATTGAATTCAACAGCATAAAAAGAATTATTCACCATGATCCAGTGGGATTCACTCCTGGGCTGCAGGGCTGTTTCAATATTCGCAAATCAATCACTGTGATACATCACATTAATAAAAGAAAAGAACCATACAATCCTGTCAATAGATGCAGAAAAAGCATTTGACAAAATACAATATCCTTTCTTAATAAGAACCCTCAAGAAAGTTGGGATAAAAAGAACATAGTTAAACAGCATAAAGGCCATCTATGAAAAGCCCACAGCTAACATCATCCTCAATGGGGAAAAACTGAGAGCTTTCTCCCTGAGATCAGAAACACGACAGAGATGTCCACTCTCACCACTGTTGTTTAACATAGTGCTGGAAGTCCTAGCATCAGCCATCAGACAACAAAAGGAAAGAAAAGGCGTCAGAACTGGCAAAAAGGAAGTCAAACTTTCACTTTTTGCAGATGACATGATAAGCTATATGGAAAACCCGACAGACTCCTCCATCAGCTAGAACTGATCCATGAATTCAGCAAAGTGGCAGGGTACAAAATCAATGTACCCAGAAATCGACTGCATTTTTGTACACCAATAATGAAGTAACAGAAAGAGAGATAAAGAAACAGATCCCATTCACAACTGCACCAAGAACCATAAAATACCTAGGAATAAACCTAACCAAGGATATAAAAGATCTTTATGCTGAAAACTATAGAAAGCTTATGAAGGAAAGTGAAGAAGACACAAAGAAATGGAAAAACATTCCATGCTCATGGACTGGAAGAATAACTATTATTAATATGTCAACACTACCCAAAGCAACCTACATATTCAATGCAATCCCAGTCAAAAGTGCACCAGCATTCTTTTCAAAGTTAGAACAAACAATCCACACTATTTTCCAGAGCAGTTACACCAGTTTGCATTCCCACCAACAGTGCAAGAAGGTTCCCAGTTCTCCACATCCTCGCCAGTGTGGAGATTCTTCAAAAAAATTAGAAACAGAACTATCCTGTCACAAGCAATAGCACTACTAGGAATTTACCCAAGGGATACATGAATGCTGATGCATAGGGGCACATGTACTCCAATATTTATAGCAGTATTTTCAACAACAGCCAAATTATGGGAAGAGCCTAAATGTCCATCCTCTGACAAATGGCTGAGGAAGGCGTGGTTTATCTATACAATGGAATACTACGTGGCAATGATAAAGAATGAAATCTGGCCATTTGCAGCAATGTGGATGGAACTGGTGAGTATTATGCAAAGTGAAATAAGTCAGTCAGAAAAAGATACCGTATGTTTTCACTCATATGCAGATGTTGAGAAACTTAACAGAAGACCACGGGGGAGGGAAATGGGGAAAAAAAAAGTTATAGAGAGGGAGGGAAGCAAACTGTAAGAGTCTCTTAGATGCTGAGAACTGAGGGCTGATGGAGGGTGGAGGAAACGGGAAATTATATTTAAAAAGAAACAATGTTGAAATGGAAAAGCAAGGAACAAAGCTATGTAAGTATAATGTAATTTTAATAAAACTGAAAAACAATTTTAAACAAAAGATATCGCTTATAAATACATAGTGTGGTAGAATTATTTCTGAAAAAGCAAGGCAACAACAAATTCAGGGTACAGTCAGTGATCTTCAGAATGTTCTAGTTCTTAAGCTGGGAATAAGGCCTTTAGACAATTTATTTCATAACTTACACGTTACATGTGTTCCTTTGTGTATACCAAGTATTACATGATACAAACATTTAATTTGG